ACGAGATCCGGATCCTCTCTGGCGTTGCAGGGCTTCGTAAGCTCAGCACGTCGTCTTCTCCGTACTGTTTCCTCGCGGCCTTGAGGGCGTCTCGGATGGCGAAGAAGACTGCACTCCCCATAAACAGAGGAGGTTCCCCTACGCCTCGCGAGCGCTGGATTGTGCGCAGGTTTTTCCATTCCACATCTTTCAGAAGAGACACATTCATGACCTGGGGAATATCTCTAAACCCAGGAATTTTGTAAGCGCCAGGCCCGCGCGTGAAGATCTGGCCGCTGGCTCTGTGCCAAAGAGATTCCTCGGTGGTGAAGAGACCTTGGCCTTGGACGTATGCACCTTCGATCTGGCCGTAGTCTATCGCCGGGTTGATACTTCGCCCAACGTCCATCTTGATGTCTGACCGTAGGCAAGTCCAGTCTCCGGTCAAAGTGTCGATAAGAACTTCACTCGCGGTTACACCCTGCGTGAAGTAAAAGAACATCATTCCCGTGTTCTCTACGCTTGGGTCAGAAGGGTTCGGGCCCCAAACATATCCAATATCAGGAGTCTTGTAGAAGCCGTTCGCAGAAAGATTGACACGGTCAAAATAGGCCGCATGGGCCAGTTCTTTCATAGTGGCGTTGGGGCCGAACTTTTCGCGATATGGAGCCAGGCGTTCGTTGATTTGCATGCACGCGTTGTAAGCTGCATAGCCATTTAGATCCGATGACGCCGATGCCGCTGTGCTTGAAGCGTTGGCAACAGTGTTTGTCGCCGTCTCTGAGATATGCACATCTGTGAGAGGTACCTGCAGTGCTTCGGCCACGATCATGCAAATCTTGGTGTGTAGCCCCTGGCCCATCTCGGTACCGCCGTGGGCAACGAGGACGGAACCGTCATGGTAGATGTGAACCAGGGCACCGGCTTGGTTGAGGAAGAGGGCGGTGAATGAAATGCCGAACTTCGTCGGAATGATTGCCAACCCCTTCTTTTGCCATTTGTGCGTCGCATTGAACTCATCAACCGCTTTCCGACGGGCGTCGTAGTCGGCGGATTCTTTGATCTGCTTGTACATCAATGGCACATGCCAATCCTCGAGCGCTTGGTTGAAGTGCGTCTCTTCACCGTCTTTGTAGAAATTGATTTCTCGCAATTTGTCGACGGGGATCTTCAGATGGTCTGCAATCTCCTCCATGAACGACTCAGCAATAAACATGCCTTGAGGACCGCCGAAGCCACGGAAAGCACTATTGGAAACAGTATTTGTCTTGCAGAGACGACCGTCCACGTCCACATTGGCGATGTTGTAGCATCCGTCAATATGCGATAGTGCTCGATCAACAACCGCAGCAGACAGATCTTGGGACCAACCAGCATTGTTGAAGATGTTGGCTTTGAGTGCCTGCAGTTTCCCATCCTTGTTGACCCCAACTTTCCAAATGCCCAAGAAAGGATGTCTCTGCCCAGAAGTCATGATGTCCTCGTCCCTGTTGAGCATGCATCTGACCGGTCGCTTGACTTTATTTGCCGCAATTGCGCAGATAGTGGCGAGCTGAACAGCTCGAGTCTCCTTGCCGCCAAAGCCGCCACCCAGACGTTTGACCTTGCAGACAATCTTGTTTGATTGAACGCCGAGCACCTTTGCAATGTATGCTTGTGTTTCGGATGGATTCTGAGTACTGCTCCAGATCTCCATCTCTCCGTCTTCCGGCTTAGGAATCGCCAGAGAAGCCTGGGTCTCCAGGTAGAAATGCTCTTGGCCACCCATTCTCGACGTGCCTTCGAAAACAAAATCGCATTCCTTGAATGCTTTCTCCACGTCACCTCTGCGGATATATCTGTAGTGTTCATAGAAGCTTTGCTTCTCGATCGCTTCTTCGATGGTGTAGATGGCTGGTAGCTCCTCATACTGGATCAGCACGGCCCGCGCACCGGCAGCGGCTTGTTGGGCAGTGTTTGCTAGAATCATGCCGATGGGTTGACCGGCCGTAAACACTTCATCTTCGGCAAAGAAAACTTCATCGCAAACAGGAGCACCCCACCAATTCGCTTTTGGATCGGCAAAGTCATGCCTGTCGACCCAGGCAATGACACCTGGAAGCTGGAGAGCTGGACTTGGGTCGACGTTGATTAGCTTGGCATGTGCTTTGGTTGACAAGACTAGGCAGCCGATAAGCTCGTTTTTCTGCACTGGAATGTCGTCTGTATACTGGGCTTCGCCAGTGCATTGTTTCAATGCCGCCATATGTGGGTGTTCCTTCCCGAGGACTTTCTGCGAATAGGCAACAGACGAATCATGATCCTTTAGGCCTCGCGAGATTTCTCTTTCAATTTCCTCGATGGCCTCTTTGTCCGCACCTTTGCTAGCTTCTTCAATGTTGAGAAGAACATCCTGGTAGAAGCGATAAAAGAAACCCAGTGCCAAAGATTTGCGGTACCAAGCCATTCCTCCTGGGACACCGAATGGAAGGTTGAAGTCATGCTCCAATGCGTTCATTACTCCCTCCAGCGTCTGTGGATCTGTGAATGTCTTTCCCACAATATACTCAGACGCCTGCTTGGCCTCGATGGTAATAGGAGCCATGCCCCCGTACACCAGGTTGGCATTCTTTACTTTGTAGTCGTCATCCAGGGCCACTCGCAAACATGCATTGACGATAGCGATATCGTCGTCTTTTCTCTTCGATTGCTTGTAGGATCTGACGTACTCTCCCTTCTCGGCGGTGAGAGGGATCCTCATTGCTGCAATGATAGCGTCTTCTGGCAATGCAGTCACCCGATATCTCTTGAAGAAGCTAGCCATCGGAATCTCGTTAGTTTTGGTGAGAGACTTCGCAATGAGGGTCGAATTCGTGGCAACAAAGACGGGATTGAGATCAGAGATGGGCGACGCCGTCGCTAGATTCCCTGCAGGAGTGCCAACATTTCGGATTTGGCGGCCCGCGAAATACCTGATGGCTTTCTTGATGGCCTTGAATGGTTGGGCCTTGACAGCTCCATAGTGTTTGACAGCTTCGTCACAGATAGTCTCCAGATCCGTCAAGGCAACATTCCCGCCGATCTCTAGATAGTCATCGTGAAAGGAGTACTGTCGAAGTTCCGCAATGTCTCCCACATACACTGACGCCGAATACTGTGCGGCTTTGAATTTGATCTCAATCTGGGTTTCTGTGCTCCCGCCAATCAACTTGGCGCCCGGATAGGCATTCTTGATTTCGAGTAATTGTTGGAGAGTCACAGGTCTATACCATTTCTTCCTCTTATTGCCAAAAGCCAACGGTTTGAAGTCGTGCTTCTTCAGAGCTGGGGGGTATATCAACTCCGTGGACTTGTCGTAATGGATGAAAGATGGAGGCGTAAACTTCTTTTCAACTGCTGCATCCGCACCGTGCGTCTCTCCTCCACTACATGAGCCGCCGTTCTCCATGCAACACCCAGAGCCGCCGTTTGCGATCGACTTGCCACATGCTTTGTTGAAACTCTGAGCGGCGTCCAGGATAGGCCTGTAACCCGTGCATCGACACAAATTGCCATCGAAGTTCTCCTCGATTTCCAGCTCAGATGGTTCGGGGCCATGGTTTCTGAGCAAGGCATACAAGCTCATGACTATTCCTGGCGTGCAGAACCCGCACTGACTTCCACTGGCCATGGCAATTCGTTGTTGTGCAGGATGTGGGTTCTTTGAACTGCCAATGCCCTCGATTGTGATTATATGCTTGCCATCCACGCTGGCCAGAGGAGCCAGACATGCATTGACAGAAGCATGGTATATCTTTTTCGTCGTGGGATTCAATTGGGAGATGACGACGGTGCAAGCACCGCAACCACCTTCTGCGCAGCCTAATTTTGTTCCTGTCAATCCAATTCCTCTTAAATATTCGAGTAATGTAATCTCTGGATCTACCGAGTCCAGCTCGACTTTTGTGCCATTGAGGTAGAAGCGGAGTGTGTCGTCGTAGTTTTTGGTAAGGGACGCGAGCGAAACAACCTTTTCAGCAGTCGCTGCTGGTTCGAGGACGCCAGGCGCCATCTCGACTATACGTGGTCGGCAGGATGATTTCGAATGAGGGAGGGAAAGAAAAGGAATGGAGGTGCCCTGTCAGGTCAGCATTCCAACTCCGGCCTTTTCTATGACTTAGGAGGTAGATGAAGGCAATCGGAGAATTCAAGGGCGAGATCAAATGTCGTACGGAGTCAGCCCGACGAAGAAATGAAGCTGGAAAGACAGGACAGACTTGTTCGAGACTACCAGATCCTTATCAGCCAGTCCCTGAAGCTTTTGGTCAGTGCGGGAGCGATGTATTACATGGCATTGATAGGGAAATGGGACGCGATGGGCGACAATGCACGAATCAGACAGGAGACAATTGCAACCAGACGATATCTCACCAATCTCGTAAAGCCATCTGACGTTCATCGATGCTGTGAGATGGAAGTTCCCTGTGGTGCGAGTGGGCGAATGAAGCGCAGTGGAAATGGTCGACATGGGTCACTCACCCGCTCAACCCCTCCTCTCCACTCCAGTTGTTGATGTGCGAGCGGCGACCTCCGATAACAACTGGTACGGCATTTAATTTGTTCTTCTCTGTCACCGTCAACATGATCGGACAACCCCATACCTATCGAGCTATTACCTGTTGCCATCAGAATACCCGCTGAAGCCTGTGGGCCTGGCCTGATCCCGCAAAATTGGAGAGTCGGCGGCCGACAACACGAGCGCTACATTGTTGAAAGACTATGACATACACTTTGCAGCTTGGACATGAGTCGGGAGCAATGGATCTTGATGGTCAAAAGACAAGGTGGCTCGGAGGAAGGCGACAAGATACAACAACCTCGTACAACGTTGGAATCGACGGCGTCTTTATTGATCTTTGGGTTCTATCCCAATGCCTCTGAAGGCTGGGTTTCTCTCTGTTACTATGTCTGGCTCTCATCGCCCCTTTGATCGCAGCTCAACGTTCTATCGTACAATGCTCAAGCAAACCTCCTCCTCACCCGGCGGCCGCGGCCGTCAGAACTCATGCCATGAGCACACGATGCATTTGCCACATTCCGTTCACTTGCTCGACGTTGTAAAAGCGCTCTGGCACCTTGAAATTGCCCCATTCACCTGTCAGTTGCATGCACAGGTAGGTCAATACCTCCTCCCTCCAGCTGCCCGACATGACTAGCGCCGAGCGAATCATTTCCATCGCTCTCATACAACTGTCCTCGGCCAATGGCTTGCCTACCGACAAGATGCGCTGAATGTGGTAGTTGAAAACCTGCCGGTCGGAGTGCGGCGTCATGTCATCGGGAAAGATAATCTGTAACACCGCAGCACCTGTTCCGCGCACCGAATTCCACTGCTCTTGTGTCGGCTGCACGATGCTGTCGTCAAGCATCTCGACGTCGTTGAAGATGAAGAAGTCAGCATCCTCCATCGCGCGGTATACCGCCTGTCTGTGACGCTCGACCATGTCATGGTATTGGCCAAAAGTGTAGGGACGCTTGGGGAGTTGTTTGGGGCGAATTGTGTTCCGGTCGATCGGTCCCTTGATCTTGTTCCTTCCGCATTCCAGGGCCCAGTGGCGTTGGATGTCGTCGTACAGGTGCTGCTTTCTGCAGTAGCGGGTGAAGCTGTCAGTGCCACAGGCAGGGCAGATGACTACGGCGCAATCTAATATATTACCCAAGGTTAGCACGGCTTCCATGGCTGGACTTTGAACTCAGCCGCGTCAGGTCGCAACATGAACTCACCCCAGCAACTTGTCATGTTTCGACAGTCGGGTTGCAAACACCGCAGACGTGGATCAAAGCTGTCGAACTTGAACGCAGCAGGAGGGCGTTGAGGCCCCTGGTCCACAGGCTGGGAACGCTGCTGCAAACTCTGGGTCAGTGACCAGCCAAATGACACAAAGGATTAAGAGCATACCTCGCGGGAGACTGATTCAGTCAAAGTGGCTGTGGTGTTGTTGTCTTCCTTCTTGGTATGTCCTTTGCCCTTTGTATCAAGAACTGCATCATCATCTCCACTTTTTTGGATCCCTTGTTGACCTTTGCTAGAAGAATCCTTGGCGCCATCTTTATTGGAGAAATCTGCTGGAGTTACCGTTCGGTCAGAATCACTCGAACGACGAGAAATAGTATCACCGAGGCCCCTTCCCAGCCCTTCGGTTGTTCGAGCCTTACGGAGTTCCTCGTCTTTAGCCTTCCGCTTCACTTTCATCGAGGTAGGAACGTTCGAATTCTCCGTAGGACTGCCTCCATCATGCTGGACAGCAGACGCTGATGGTGGCATATCGGTCGGTGCGTCGAGTTTGGCGTCTGCCATCTTGTCCACGATCTCAGACAAGCTCTTGTCTCCTGGGCTTTCGTTTGCCTGCGTCTGGTCCTGAGGTACCGTCTTTTTCTGCGGTTTCTTTCTGGTTGACCGCTTCTTTTTGCCCTTCTTTGTGGAACTGGCCTGCATATTCACAGTGGAATCTGGGATCGACCGTTTGACCATTGTGCTTAATGAGGAAGAAGAACCAGAAGATGATGAAGACGAAGATGTGGCTGGTCGTGAATGGGAGTTATCTGAGCGTGAACGAGAATTTGGACTGGCAGAAACATTGTGTTCACTGCCATCGTGCGCCGAGACGACAGAATAACTAGGGGTGAGCGTTCCCGGAGCAGCGGCAGTTCCTTCATCATCATCATCAATCACGGTCGAATTCATGTAAAACTCCCCTCGTCGGATTGTTTCCACCAAAATGACTGCCTCTGTTCGCCTGCCAGGTTCATTGATGAAACAACGGGCTTCCGAAAAGATTCGCATTGCCGTCATAATAGCCACAGCCATATCTTGCTGCATGGAGTCAGCCTGAAGGATTCGCTCATCGGAACGGACTTTCAACACTTACAATTGGTGCTGCACTAGTGCGAAACCACGAGCGCAAAAAATCTCGGTGTTTGATTTTGACGAACAGCTGCCACGAACATTTGGCCCGGTTTACGCCTATGTCGAAAGTATGATGGCGGTATCTGACAAGACCTGCTGACAGCATTGTCTTATCGATGATGATCAGCGTCTCCTCCTCCAGTCCAGCAAAGAGAAGCTGGTTTCCTTTTGAATCTGTCATGGAGAACGGTGGTAATGGGCCACCCTCAGCCTTGACCCTGGTCTGATACTCTTTGCGGAGGGGAGCTAGCTCTTCGTTCTGGGTGGTCCAATTTAATTCTTGGACTCCTTGAATGCCCATGGGCATCGTTTCTCGTCCAAATGACCCGTTGTCGTCGAAACTCTTGAAGAGCTGCTCCGCGATGACACTTGCTATACCCAGTGCTTTTGTGTCTGTCTGGAATAATAGGAATATCTTCTGGCAAAAGCCAGCAAGGACTTGTTCGGCATCCCTACCCTGAAATAAATCGCCCAGAGCGCGAGTCACAGCAACCAGCTCCTCATCCTGCACGCCGACTGTGTGAACCCGTGACCCTTTCGAGGGCCACAGGAGTTTTGAATCTTTCAAGGACGAAGAGGTGTGAGCCACAAATGCGTGGGAGTGCTTCAGAGTGTGTTGCTTGGTTTCGTCCTGCTGTTCGGACTTGTTGTCTGATCTGCCAGTGGTGAAATACATCAGCATGCGTGTCGTGATGACTTGGAGAGCTGCTTACGCGCTTGACATTGTCAGAGAGCGAGGCCAGCATGGACCTCTTTGAGAAGAGCTTCTGTTCTGCAGTTCTTTACAAAAGACGCGGTTTCAGTGCTATGGAGGCACGGAGTTGCGGGTTAGGTTGTGAATGAGATTCATCACAGTCGGCTAACAGGCCGAGAAAACAACATAGGCCTTTGAAGAGTACCGGCACAAAATGGACACGTGCTCTGAATTTCTCAAGGTGCACATCACTGCAGTGGTTACGAGTGCCCCAGGTCATGAGAAATCGGTATATTTTGTGAACAAATATATTCGGAAATCCAGAGAAAGCTAGTGGCCTCACGGTTCGGTATTGCTAGTTAATTTTACACAGTGCTCTATCCTTTACACTCGCTAGGCACTTTCAACCTACATCAGTGCTGGAGTTTTCTTTGTTTCTGGCCAAAGCACTGGGATGCTGTTAGATTGATTGAGCACAAAGCCCTCCAGAAGACACGGGTGAGAGTTTAGTGCACAGGAATATCCCAATGTCGTGGAGACAAGTGGGCTGCTTGTTAGGTGACGCGCCATACGATGCGTTGTCCATCAAAATATAGTTGATTGTGTTGTGAAGCGAGTAACAACGTTGGAACCAGGCTGCCCACCAGCTTTGTTACTTCCCAAGGCTGAGAAGTTTGGTGATGTACCTCTTTACGGTTAGTCCAAGCACGTGATCTCGGCCAAATTCAAAGCCCCCACCTGCGCCAGAAAGTGGCTGCAGCGCCTGGGTTTTTCTGACCTGAAACTCATAGCACCAACATCCACCTCGTTGGTTCTGAATAAGATTTCTTTTTCGACTGCGTGCTCTTTTACCCTAGTTTGTCTCTGGTTGTTGCGACCTGAAATTTTTTGCACTCTTGCACCTTCAAGGTTGATGGCAGACCTTAGCAATATCCTCGCCGCGCTGGCGGCACAGAGGCAAGGTAGCACTCCGCAAACCGCTCCCCCTCCACCTGTTCCTGGTGCCTCTTACCCTCCACCTCAATACGCCACTCCCCCCGGCAGCGCACCGCCCTACGGACTCCCTCAGCCCATACACTCCGGGAGTGTCGACTTGACCAACATAAAACCAGTCAGCTCCGGCTCTGTCAGCATTGCCGATGCTGTCGCCAAAGCTCGGGGCATCGCTGCCGAAAAGGGCATCTCTTATGATCCTAGTAGACGTATGTTCTACCGGTCCAAACGTTTGAGGCGCCAACTGACAATTTTTTTCTAGCACCTATGAACCCATCAGACCTTCGCACTGGAAGTAGAACGTACCGACGCTCAAGGTCACCCTCTCGGTCTCCCCCCCACCGCGAGGGCTATCGCGATGCCTACAATACTTACAGGGATGAACGACGCGGGAACGAGCGCGGTTACAATAGAGAGCGCTCCTTTTCTCCAAGAGGCGGACGTTATTCTCCTGGACGATATCGAGATGATCGCTCACCTGGGCTTGACCGAGGAGGTGAAGGCGAATCAGAAATTCTACCTCTCGACAAAGGTGTGGTAGGTCTTATCATCGGACGTTCTGGAGAAAATCTACGCAGAGTCGAAAACACAACAGGCGCTCGGGTACAATTCATGGATGGACCCGAAGTGCCTGGACCTCAACGGCACTGCAGGATATCTGGCAGTCGAACGGCCCGGACAGCGGCCAAGGCCGAGATTTTCAGGATCATTGACGACAACGAAGTTGTGAAGAGGGGTCAGGACAAGCCCCGCACCAACCAAACCAAGGTCACGAGTACCAAAGAAGGCGACAGCCTTCAAATGATGGTCCCCGATCGCACCGTGGGTTTGATTATCGGTCGAGGAGGAGAAACTATTCGAGATTTACAAGATCGAAGTGGATGCCATGTCAATATCGTTGGAGAAAACAAGAGCGTGAATGGTATGCGACCGGTCAACCTGATTGGCAGTGCGTCGGCACAGCAATATGCAAGAGATTTGATCCTTGAGATTGTAGAGAGTGATCAGAAAGGTATCAGCATCAAGGATCTCCACCGTGAGCGAGAGGACTCGCACGGCAAGATTAACGATAGTATCGTTGTACCCGGCGAAGCGGTGGGTATGATCATCGGCAAAGGTATGTTTCCGCTTACCAGCTTGAAGTGCAACGTCTGACTAATCTCCCTGTAGGGGGTGAGTCCATCCGTGATATGCAGAATCAAACAGGGTGTAAGATCAATGTCTCGCCTGCTGCTGGACGAGATATTGAACGCGAAATTGGTCTTATCGGTAGCCGGCACGCCATTGATGCCGCCAAACGTGCGATCATGGAGAAAGTCGACGTTGTGGTAGGTGGTTCCCCTGGGCGTGACACTTGGTGGTGCATATTTACTAATTTGGTTCAGCGTGCTCGGACACAAGCTCGTGAACGTGAAAGTCGCGACGACTATACGGACAGGTATCCCGGACAACAGCCTGTGTATCCTCCCGCTGCCGGTGGTATTGCCCAAGGCGTTGCACCACCCCCAGCGGCAGGGGAGGCAGACCCATATGCTGCATATGGTGGCTACCAGAACTACCTTCAGATGTGGTATGCTGCCATGGCAGCTCAACAACAAGGTGGCCAAGGTCAAGGTGAGCAACGATGAGGCGCGTTGAGTGGACCAAGCGTGACCTGGCTCGTGAACGGAATTCCGACGCCGCTGCTGGATGACCTCTGAACTCCCTCGACGACCATGCTTTCGCCTCTTCGACGTCCGGATGACTGCTCACCGAACTGTCTTGGCCAGCTTTCGCACATGCTTGTGACTCACCTGATCCGGAATCAACGTCGACCTTGCAAAGCTTCGCATGATATCGCTGTACACTTACACACGTCTTTGTTGGTGTGAATCGCCGCCTCCTTCGCGCCCTGACTATTATTCGCACTTGGGCCCTCGACCAAGTTTCCCGTGCCCGCCATTTACAGGTCTGTGAGCCAACTGCAATGGAGCAGAGTGTCTTCCGTTGCCAGACATGAGGCTGTGCTGGGTCTACTTTTTACACAGACGATGAGCCGGCCGAGATGATGTACGACCTCTCCATATTACAGGGAATGACGTGGGTGTGCTAGTGACGTTCGACGCCTCGCATTGTCGATCAACATAGCTTCAAGTTAACATAGGGGGGTCGGGTTTCTGCGCACGAGATATTCGACTTCTACTGTGCAAGCACCGTAGGTACCAACTGTTGCATGCAGCCCTCGTCGCGTGGCTGATACAGTGGGAGGATGGAAGATCAATGCAAGAAGAGCCACTAGGACTAAAGTAGTAAAGCTCACAGAGAGCCTGAATTAAGCAATGACATCACCGTGGCTGCTGCCCCGCTTCCCTAAACGCCACAGGAAAAACAAGTTGCCGATCTCGTGGCTGATTTCCTCCGAAGCTTGGACGATCATTTAAAACCCTGCTTCTCGTCTCACCTTGTCGTCGATTGTTCTCCTCTCGATAGGCACCATTTGAGAATATCGGATTGCTTCGTCGGTGTCTCCCTTCCCAGTCTTGCACCACCACCTCCTCCTGCGCTGCGTCCGTCGGTCTACACCTGATTACGTCCTCGGCGGCAATTCATGTTCTCCGAGTTACGTCACTACCATGACGGGTCCTTGCGGTGCTGGAACGGGGTGTTGGTGGCAGCTGGGGATATGGCGAGGCAATCTGAAGAGGAGTCTACTGCGCCATCTTGTTTCAATATCGGCGACCACGTGCGAGCGCGTGTCGGACGTGGAAGCAGCGTCAATGAGATGGTTGGTGGGCGCTTCTTCAGCCTGGTGGCGCTATTTCTGAACTACGCGCCAATTTTGAGTCTGGAAACATCACCACCAGCCGATATGAATCCTGCACCACCACATGCGGCAACTCTTTTGAAACACGCTCAATCTGTGTCTGAAGGTTCAGAAGAGCCTCTTGTAACATGTTGGTGGTGCGCCCCGCAACATGGGGGTCGAGGTCGATGGGAAAAGCGGTACGTACTGGCAGAATTCTGTTCACCATTTCTATTGAGTCTTATTGTTCTTATTGTTCTACTCCCTCTGTCACCATCCTTTGTGTATTGTTCTCCATTCACTTTGACTCTCTGTTGCTGGCTGCTGCTTCTTTCTTGCATGTCACGAATCTCCTTTGTTTGTGTCATAAATAGCATTCTCTCTGCCTCAAGTCTTGATGACTGCCTTTGTCAGTTAACCTGCCTTGTCACTTGTATCACCACCTTCTTGACCGACTCGGTTTCCTTTTCTTCTCCGGCAATACCATCTACTTCCACATCTCGAAAAAGACCTTCAAGTCGACCCACGTACTTACTTGAACTCGGATATTAGATAATTTCCCGTCGATCTCTGCACCATGTCTGCCCCGTCGGCCCTTGTGGCTGGCGCTCCTCCATCCATGCCTGCCGGCAGCCATGAGATACGAGACTACTACTCCGACCAAGGCCCACCTCGGCCGCTACCAAACACTGCACCATCCATCACACCCTACCTTGGCCTCCGGGCTCGATTATCACAGATATGGCTCAATCGATGGACCATTCTCCTCCTACTTGTTCTGGCTCGCACCCTCATCGCAATCTCGGGGATTGACAGCAACCTGGGTTCTGCACGACGCGAAGCACTGTCTGCCTGTTCCGACGTCGAGTCGATGGGGTCCGCCATGGCTTCTATGCCTCACTACATGTCTCAGGGCGTGAACGAAGTGGCGGCCTCCGGGATCGAAAAGTCGGTCAACGGTCTGATTCAGATGACCACCATGAGTGTCACGGCAGTGGAAGAGATTGTGGTCTTCGTGATAGGCATGATGACCAACACCTACCTTTGTCTGATCACTTTTGCTGTCAGCGGCAGCTTGCACTCCGTCATCGGAACCCTCGACTCTGCTCAAGATGGTCTCAACAAACTCACCCAAAATCTCGGGAACGACTTGTCGGGCGCTGTCAAAACATTCGAGGATGCCTACAACAATTTTATCGGTAAACTCGAGAGCTTTATTGCCTTCGGACAAACTGTTGACCAGCCGACTCCTCTCAATCTCACCTCCGAAATGAACTCGCTGAAAAATCTCAAACTACCAGCCAACCTTGACGCCGACCTGCAGAAACTCAACAACTCTATTCCTACTTTTGCCCAGGTCAAGAATTTTACGGAAAGCATCATCCGCCTACCCTTTGAAGAAGTCAAACAGCTCATGAACGAATATGTGGGCAACTATACCTTCAACAGATCCTTGTTCCCGGTCCCCGCAAAAGAACAACTTACATTCTGCAGTGACAACGACGGGATCAATGACTTCTTTGACGGGCTGGTCGATGTGGCTGCTCTCGCACGCAGAATTTTCATTGGCGTGCTGCTTACCTTAGCACTCCTCGCTATGGTCCCAATGGCGTGGCGCGAAATCAAGCGATGGCAGAAAATGCAACAGCGCAGTCAATTGATCAATTCTGACGCTCGTGACCCTCTGGACGTTGTCTACCTGGTCAGCCGCCCTTACACCTCGGCAGCTGGAATCAAGCTATCCAACACATTCCAGTCTCAGCGCAAGAAGGACCTGGTTCGTTGGGTCGTTGCATACGCCACCTCTGATGCTGCCTTGTTTGTGCTCGCTCTCGCCATAGCAGGTTTGTTCTCTTGTGCCTGTCAAGCTATGCTGCTCCATGCTCTGGAAAAGGAAGTCCCAGACCTCACGAATCAGGTGGGCGCCTTTTCTGACAAGGTGGTTGCGCAACTCAACAACGCATCCGAACAATGGGCTATTGGCACAAATGCAGCGATTGCCGCCACAAGCAAGGACATCAATCAAAATATGCTGGGTTGGGTCAACACATCCACGAATGCAATCAATGACACACTGAACACATTCGTGGATGAAACGACAAATGTTCTCAACACCACGTTTGGCGGGACTATATTGTACGACCCCATCATGGAAGTTCTTAACTGTCTGATCTTGCTCAAGATCCAGGGAATCGAAAAGGGCCTCACTTGGGTTCATGATAATGCGCACATCGACTTTCCCCTACTTCCGAACGACACTTTCAGCCTTGGCGCCGTCGCCAGCCTGGCGGACTCGAGTAACCCTTCTGACTCTTTCCTCGCGAGTCCAGGGGACACCACAAGCGACAAGATTTCCGAGGCCGTCGCAAGATTTATCGATGAAGTGGAAGATACAATCCGGACGGAAGCGATCATTTCAACCGTCATTCTGCTTGTCTGGGTTTCAGTTGTGCTTATGGGCATCGTCCGAGCGCTGATGCTTTGGGGTAGACGTGATAAGGTCCGTGGCGAAGGCGGTGCGCCAGCATTCCCCTCGAGCCTTGGAACAAGTAGTGGCTCTCGCTTTGACGATCAGGGGCGACATCCTGAATTTGTGGACATCCCACTAGGCAATGTCAACAATCCACGACCAATGTCACCGGCGCCACAGTACACTCCCCCAAAGTACATTCCTCCAGAGAAAGCCGAAGCATTTGAGGAGAACTATCAAGACTCCAAGCTGGGATTTGCGAGGCATCGAGTGTACCAAGAGTCGGAGCAGTCGCAGATGGATAGCAAACATGGAAGCATCTGGAATAGAGCCTGAGATGAAAACACGGAATGAGCATTTGCATTGTCGGTACTACGACCGCCCGAAAAAAGAAATTGAGATAGGTGCGACAATCACTTTGAGCACCAGAAAACCTTCACGTTACGTTCAACCGGACGACTCTGTCACGAGTTGCGGCGCAGTGGAGAGTAATGGAACACGTTTGGAAGAATAATGGAATTCCGATTGAATACATCAGTGATGAAAGAGCATAAAGGGTGGCATTGGTAATGCGCGTGTGATGTTGAATGACGATATGCTTTGTGGAGGACATCTTCTTTGTCACAACTTGATCACCGCCCGGGCACAATATCGCAATGAAAGAAAGAAACAAGGAAGATGCCCGGGCATTTACTTTTCAAGCAACAGCAAAGAGGATTGATTTCCTCAAGGTCAGCACCGAGGGACTCGAGTTCCTTCCCTGCCCCTTCTCCGGTGGCGCAGCGTGGTTCTTTCGTCCTTTGGTCGAGAGATACCCTGTTCTGTTCTCCGCCGACCTTCCGATAGCCCTTCATCCCTACAGTGGCTGTCGCGCCTTGTCACAACTCTGTGACAGGGTGTCAAGCAAGGCTTTCGGTGCTGCGATCAGAACACTGTGCCGGTTTATCGCAGCCGGAGTCGCGTGATGGAGTGGAATTATAAGTCCTTTCGATCTATATGCCCTTGATTCTTCTCGTTCAAGTGGGGAATCGCAAGTGGTATCTCGAGGACGAAGCAGGTCTTGCACGGGACGTTCGGATACATGTTGGTTTTAGAGCCCCCTTCATCCTTCTTGGATGTTGTTGTGTAGGCTCTTCTAACCCGGACCCCTTTTTGTTGTTGAGCTATGGTCTCGAGGGATATCTCATGGATTGCTGTTGATGTGTGCTTGGATGTTGAGGCCCTCGTTCGTTGTTGCAGTTCAGCCTTTCCCTTTTGTCGCCTCGGAGACTTTGCGTTTCAACCGCAGTCACTGTCTCTTCACTGATCTTCGGAGAAAGTCGAAAGCAGTCACTTCGGTGAGATGGCAAGATGGAACGGACCTGACTTCAACACGAATGAGCTCGCCTTCGAAGTGATGTCTGGCATGCTGCTTCCCGCAGGACTCGGCTGTGTACGTCAACTCATGATTGGGCTCTCAATGCATGTCTCCCACGAGCCAGTCATACAGTCGGGGTTTGCGAGAGGTCAGCACGCCATTGACGTCACTTTGAAGAAGGCTCCCTCTTCCATATACCTCTGGTGGATCGGATTCCAGCATGCAGCATCCGATTTCGCCGGTATGCAGAGGTTTGTGGTGAGAGGGGGCGGGCTTGTGAGCTACGCTCCGAGTCCCCCATCCTCAACACTCGAAAAGAAAAGAAAAAAGACCCAAAAAAAAGAAACCAAGCCGTGGGCTGGATTCGAATCATCTGGATTGTTATCGATTTGCGTTGCTCTGTCCTGCCAGAGCTACGAAGAGGCAGGAAGACAAGTCAAGGATGGTCATGCAATTAGATAGCAGCCTAGGGATAGATACCGAAATAACAGGATTCAGCCCGACAACTGTGAGGTTTCTCTCTGTTTTGTTGTTTGTTTGTTCCTCTCTACGGTTCCCTTGCTCTCTCTGGGATATTATTCTTGCTCTTTTCTGCCTTGTCAAGCTCTTTCTCCTGATTGGGCAGGAGGCGGTGCTACTAAGAATTAATGCCTGACATGGTGCGCGGACGTGAAATTAGCCTCATTTCCACCACTTCACCTCTGCTACTTTCTCCTTGTTTCTCTTTCTTCCTCTCTTTCCCCCGTCATCCAGAATTCATCTCGCTCTTCAAATATTATCCTCTTCCTGTATCAGCGACCAATTTACAGCGAAGGGACTCAAGCCAGGGGTTCTAGGGCGAGTCCCCTGCCACTTTCTCGAATAAGGCTGAGTGTTGCAAGGCGACAACCAACTCTCCCTCCACAGCGGAGAGCTCAGGTTCGGAAGTATGAAAGCATTGGTCGCCTTTGGGCTGGCATGTAACGTGATTCAGGTCGTTGATGCTTCGCGGAAAGTCTACGAAATCTTCACGCAATTTCGCAAACTTGGTACAACAGCAAGGGTTGACGAGCTGCGACACAGCACCCAGCACCTACTGAAATGTCACAACTCTCTGCAGGACTCATTGTCAAGTGCCTCCAAATTCCCGCTCCTAGAGAGTGGGGTGGATCTTGCCGAGCTGAGCAGAAGTTGTATCGAGGCAGCAAAAGATCTTGAGGATGAGCTGCAAAAGATCACGGTTAAACCTGGTTCTACAAGCTTTCCGCCTTGACCAAAACCTTCAGAACCAAGATGAAATCAGATCACGTTGAAGCGTTGAAGCGCAAACTCGACGAATGTGCCAGAGTGTTGGATTCTACAATCCTGGTCCATTTAAGGTATGTATCTCTTACGAGGCTCTTCCAAGGTGCAACTACTCCTGTTTGGCTGACCCAGAATGATCATCCATTGGTGTGTACTGATGAACTATTCGAGCCAGAACCTGGGAACTCTGGCAGCGCAGCAGACAAATGTCCTGGACCAACTAAACGACTGGCAGCGGAAGATCTACTCGGAGATTGTCGCTGGCAATACTAGGGTTGACAGCCTCATCAAGACAACCGCCGAAGACGTCAAAGCTTACACAATGCTAGAACACAATATCACGCGGCGCCACATCGACAGAAAATTCGACCATTTTGTCGATGCCAGGACAGATCAGGCAAACTATGAGAGCTTCATGGAAAGTTTGTACTTTCTGGAGATTAACCAGCGCCAGGATACCATCGAAGATGCACACAGTAAAACCTTTGAATGGGTTTTCGACGGTACTGCACATACCAAATGCCTATGGGACAATTTCATGCTGTGGACAAAAGACGACAATCCGATCTACTGGATCTTGGGGAAAGCCAGGTTGGGCAAGAGTACTCTGATGAATTTTGTGGTCCAGGATGAGCGAACACGAGAAGCGTTTACACGTAAATTCACCGGCCAACAACCACTTATCATTACTTTCTTTTTCTGGGAAGCAGGGATCGACCTCCAGAAGAGTCAAGTTGGGCTTCTACGTTCTATAATCTGGCAAATGCTCAAGGCAATGGATGCTACTACCTCGATCTAAATCTGGTCGACTATGTTGCAGAAGATCTCACCACCTTTACCTACTGTTTGGACCTAAAAGCAGCTGCGGCAAATTCTCCAGTCGTTGGTGCAAGGAATATGCAATCCTATCTGTCGCTTTCTTGACGGCTTGGACGAATTTCAGGGCTTGGACGACCACTTCGAAGCCATACAAGATACTATTGGGGTTTTCCGAGACCGCCAGAAGACAAAGATATGTATCTCAAGTCGACCATCTGCGAGTCTCGATTCTCTGTACAAGTACTGCCCACAACTGAAACTTCAAGATCTTACCAAATCTGACATTACCCGGTACGTTGAAGACAAACTCACCAGGACCCTGTCATCGGACAGCTATCGATGGCTCGCAACTCCAGCCTCGACGGAGATGCATGAATTAATTACGGAAGCTTTGCTCAGGGCAGAAGGAGTTTTTCTTTGGGTCCGCCTGACTGTTGAATCACTAGTTCGAGGCATTCGGAAGGATGACGACTGGCAGATTTTGGTCAGACGCCTTCAACAAATGCCGCAAGGGATTTTCAATCTTTATGGACTCATGTGGAAGCGCATGAATGATGCCGACCACCCATTCTACGCGATGGAAGCTGCAGCGTATTTGCAATATGTCCTACACTATCCCAATTGCTCCTTGATTGAGATGACGATTGCCCGTGACGAAAGTTTACAGAAATCGTATCTAGACAAATTAGCAACATGCGATTTGAAAACTTTGGGACAGGAATTGAACGCCGAAACATTAAAGAAAAGGATACTCACACGCTGCGCGGGCTTTCTCGAAATATATGGGCCGCTAAATTGGGATTATGGATTCGCTAGGCCATATGTCGATCAACCTTAGCAACCTTGGGGAGTGGACGTTGAGAACACCAGCCTCATCCACTATCCAGAGACCATGAAAAGGCTCATTGAGATCGGAAAGAATCACCGAGCTCTGAATGTGTCGTTTCTGCACCGGACTGCTCGATAATATCTTAAGACGGAATCCGGCAAGAATTTACTCCAAGCTCAACCTCTCATGCGCCACGAGCTTTTCATGATGCGATACAAGTCTATGCTTGTTACGATCTTATTGGGCGCCATACCGGTATGTCAACCTATTTTCAGTGACAGGGTGCCATTCTATTTTTTGAATGTCTCGTGGTTTGTTAATTACCTAGACAATCACCCTGAAATTGCCTGTGAAATGTTTGTGTAGCTGGAAGAGATACTCGAGAAACTCAAGTCCTGGGGTGCTTTCTCTGGCGAAGAGATACAACAGACATGGCAGAAATGCGACAATGACGCCAGGGGAAATCTGGATTACACCAAAATCTTTGCTCCCTTCAGCCATCCGGCATACACAAAACACAAGTTGACACGCTCAGGCTTAATTCACAATAGAGCCTACTTGACTGACCTTCTTGGCTACGCTTGCCGCATGTCGGCAATCCATACTATTCATGACTACTTGGCAAATGTAGAGCTATTACTGGCATTGGGAGCAGATCCGAATCAAAAGTTGTTCATCCATCCGGCCGGCGGGGATACAACAAAGTGCATCACTATATGGACTTAAAGTGTCCTGAATAAGTCCCCTCAATCACTAGAACGTACGACCCGCGCTTTCATTGAGGCTGGAGCTGACCTCAACACCTGGATTCGATTTCCATTATACTCAGCAGGTGGATATCATCACCATTGGGAACCCCTCCGAAGGGTAAGGGACTATGACCAATCATTCGTTCTGCTCCGTATCAAAGCCTGTGATATCCTCTTATATAGAGACGTCTCTTTGGAGGCTGATCTCTTACGCAAGGCTGGGTCGGTCGCCGATAGATCATTCTTGGTCGTCTTTGAGCCGCCAAATGCATGGCGCACCGTGGCCTTAGATCCCTCTGGTAACACGGTGCAAGACAAAATCATGAGACATTTCTGGGACGATGGCCTGATGGGGAACGGCGACGCTCCAAACTTACTGCAGGTTCAAGACGAAGTCAACGTGAAATTTTACAGCCACGGAATTGATGCACTCCGAGCAGGCGGCTTTTCTGATGAGGATATAAAAGAGCTCGGGATCCCGTAGACGATATGGCAGGACTATGAGCCAGGAGGGGGTGAGGCTCACGGCATGAATCTGACCGAATCTTCGTCATTGAATCTACCAAGGCCTTGTATTGATGATCCAGCAACATGAACTTGCACACCTAGCTCGACCTTCGCGAGGCATTCGCCCTGGACACCCTCACGGTTGCTGATCTGCGATAGCCACACCCAACTCACTGTCTCCCTGCCCTGTGATACGGGTCAGCCAGATACGATAATACCGTCGTCTCCCTGGGAAGGGACAACTCCCGCTTACCAAAGTAGAGGAGCCACTTGCCCTGGAATTGCACCAGCCCCTCGGCAAACACCACCTGGTCCACCTGGCCCTTTTGCTCGTTGTCAGCCTCGGGCACCAAGATCGGCCTTTCGAGCCTTGCGACGGGCCCATCCCTCAGTGCGGGCTGGTACGCGCCATCGCTCACATTCAGCGTCGGCCGAAACGAGCCCGAGGGGTCGATGAGCATCTGGCCCACCGAGTACTGCTTCTGCGGGTACCCCACACGCCCTGTCGTCATGCCGTTGTATATAAGCAGCCATTTCCCATCTCGCGTCTTGATGGGCGGTGGTCCGGGTTCGATCAGCCCATTTTCCCACGGATTGAGGGGGCTGGCGAAATATTGGTCGGCGGGCAGTGCTGTCCAGTTCAAGAGGTCCGGCGACGTGGCGTGGTAGAAGAAGCTGTCGCCAAAGTACATGTGGTACAGGCCGTCCGGGGTCGGTTCGCTGACAATGGCGCCGGATTTGGACCAATCGATGCGCGGCGACGGCACGTCGATATCCGAGTACGCCACGTCCCGGTACGAGGGGAACAAGGGCGGGTACTTTTGCCAGTGCAACAGGTCCGTGGATGTGGCGAGACAGAGCCGCGCCGTCACGCTGTCGTACGCCGTGTAAGTCAGGTAGAAGGTGCCGTTGACGCGGACGATGCGCGGGTCCTCGGTCCCGCCGAGGTGTTCCCACGGCTCGGTCGCGTAGACGACGGGGCGGTCGAGGCGGGTGAAGCTGACACCGTCGCTCGACCAGGCCAGCCCGATCGACGACGTCTTGGACGCGTTCTGCGCCCGGTACAGCAGGAACACGGTCTCGTTGAGCACAATCGCCGTCGGGTTGTACAGGTACGCAGACTCCCAGTTCGCCGCCGGGTTGGGCCTCAAGATAGGGTTGTGCGCGTACTTGGTGAAGGGTGCGATGGGGAACACCGGCGCCGTGTAGTTGGCCGTTTTCTCTGGCGTTGACGGCGTGATGGTGAAGGGGAGGTCGCTGGCTGTATGTGGCGGTTCTTGGAACGAAGACGACGACGGTAATACCGAGAGGAGGCCGGCGTTGAGAATATTTTGAAATTTCATCGTCTACTTCTTCCCTCTGGAAGGTCTGATATGTAGAGTAGAGTTTGCGTAATATCTGACTGACTGATGCGCGACGACTATTCAAAAGATAACACACGGCCTTGGGTAAATATACCTCGTACGTCGTACGATTATAGTTCTGGATAAATCATTTGTTACGAGGTATGTCTAAACACCCGGGGAAGAACCCGTTGAGAACTGAGTCGATCCTCCACCCTGAGTTGAGGTGAGGTGAATACCTCCCAGCCCAGGTACCAGCCACCAGCCACCGATTACCTGCCACCTGAAGAGCTAGCTAGCGAGCTGTCAGCGCCCACACACGCGAACAAATGACTCTTGCATATCCCGTAGACATGGCATGTCATGGTCAGGGGTATGAACGGGGTATATACCTCGTACAGTGTATCTCACGCTTGTATTGTGTCCATGTTCAGGGGGTGTATCCACTTGTATACCGACTACGAGGTGCTATGGGGCACCAAAAATTAGGCTGAACCGAGTAGTTCAAGGGATATTCGGGATGCGGAGAATATATTCTTCCGATACTCCGCAATACTCCAACTCCAACTCTTCTCACTCACCCCCACACGACATTTCTTGTATGGGTGTGCCCACGCGCTCGACCACCCAACTCACTGTGTCTGCCGAGTGACCAACCGACCAACTGACCACCCTGGCCGCATTAGTTTCCAACCATCCACCCTCCTTGGCAACAAAAATCGAAGTATATCAAAATCTATACTAACCTCTTCTCTTCAAGAGACCAAAAGATTTCTTGAGAAACAAAAACAATCAACAGTCAGGATTCCCACCTGGTCACCCACGGTAGTACTAACTGACCGGCATGTGGCTTAAGTACGGCTGAGCGAACGGGAAGCCCTGTATTCCACATCCTATGGTCGATTGCGGAGGAATATCTGACATTACAGCTGATAAATGTGAAAAAGTTAAAGAGTTGAGGCAGTGGTAGTAAAGTTCTACTTGAGATATGGATACGACCCGATTTTCTCGTTCGTGTCAACCATAATAATAGACCAGCGTACTTGTTTCCGGTGAGTCAGGTCTGTAGAAGAACACAACAGAGGAAAACCAAGTAGATCCCTTTGCAAGAGCTAGCTGGAAAAAGAGTCTGCTTTCTTCACTCACAACCGACATTTTCATCACGAATCATCTAACCCCTGCCTGCACCGAGTAAACCCGCCTGGTCACTAGAATGTCTCGTTATCAAGACCCTCCTGTGATTCTATTCTCGGTTCAACCGTCTTTATCCCCTCCAGAATGAACGACCGAGTTCGAAAATTCCAAGGTAACTCGCCCGTACGTAAACCTGAACCAGTCCCGCGTCGTCGACACCCCGGCCCTCTATCATCTCTCACACCAAATCACCCACGTCCTTGTGGGGCCAATCTCTGCAGCAAACTAGATTCACCGTGCCATGGCCATTACACCACGATAATAATCCACCCCCAAAGTTCGTGCATGCACGAGCCTCGCGTCCGTCGTAAGGGGAAGGTCGAGGATATGTCTCTGCTCGCACAGGTAATGTCAGTACACTGCTCACATGCAACAGCAAATCAAATACCTGGCAACATACCTGCTCACTGACGCCATTGTCCATCTCCAGCTCCAGCTCCAAAGCCTTTGCAACCATTCGTCCCATCTCGCGCAGCGCAACCATCTCCTCAAGCTTCTCGCGGTCCTTGTTCAAGTCTGTGTGGCTCGATCTAGGCCCTGTCGCGGCATGTTTAAATCGTGCGTTCAACTCCGTCAGTGACACTTGAAGTCGGGCAAGCAGTGCTCTCTTCGACGTGCCTTCGGCAGAACCACGTCGTTGTGCCTGAGAGGTATCCATCAGCGCCATCAGTTCTGTAAAATCCGTGTAGACTTGTCCGCCGTCTTTCCATTCCGTTGACCCTGTAGCGCTGTCGCTCGCCACGGCGGCATTGACCTTTCCCTCTGCCTCATCTCCGAACCACCCCAACACCTCTCGAAGAGTGTTCCAGTCTTCGTCAATGACCAGTCGTGGAGCTACACGGTGAAGGAAGCAATCATGAGCGCTGCCAAAGTCTCCCGCCGCTAAGAGATAGTTCAATTCTGCAAGGGGATTATTGCATGAACGCGCGTGAAGAGCTTTGGACTGGTGAATCCATGATGCAGGAATCCGGAGAGATGCAGTGAAAGCGGTCCACAAGGACGAATCTTGACTGGTTGTGGCGCTGTCGGTACGTGGTGCATACGGTAATGTTGCGGCATGGTGATTGAAGAGGTGGCGGATCTGAGCAGCCCGCTGAGATGGTTTGGAGAGGTGGAGAAGTGCATAGACCGCGCCCAGCGTATTTGTGCGTGCCGAGTGCTCGAAAGCGAGTGACATGGCTAGGTCGTCGGATCTGTCCTGGTCAATTGACACCCCTGGTATCGTGGCAACAATGGTGTGATGGAGGCGGAAAGTTCTCCAAGAATCCCAAGGCTGTGACAGAGCCGAAAGGGCCTGAGGGATTACCGGCTTCTCGACCCGACCGCTGGCAGAAGGTGTCGTCCTGCTACCAGCCCTGGCTTTGGTGGACCCATTATTGCTCGCAAAAATCTTCAACACCACCCACAGAGGATCCTCATCCTCGTGCTCCCCACGCAGAGGCGTAGCCGATTCAAGCCCTGAACTCAAATTTTCCTGGAAATCCGCGACCACTTCCCAGATCTCTCCGTCCTTGTGCCTTCCATACCAGAAGCACAACGCAAAAGCCTGAATCCAGTCCAATTCAAACTTTTCAGAGATGGCGAAGGTCGACGCCCGATCTTCGACAGGCACATTCTGCTTTCCCTGCACAATGCAGGTGTTTCCCGACAATATCTCGTACAGTGCACGTATCTCCTCGCTCATTTCGGAAATCACCCCCTGTCCGCGCCATGCAGAGATTTGATCAGCCATGTCATCCTGGAAAGCTGCATCTGCCTGTCCGATTTGTGCGACCAACAATGCAAGGTGAAAGTCCTTCTCTTGCATGAGCGCGTCACACGCAGCATGAGTGCCGTTCGCCGTAAGTTGCATAATGGCTGCTGTTGCGCCGTTGAGTTTGGAGGCGTCTTCGATACGCTCGCCGTGGCGGCGCCATATTAGCTCCGAGAAATACTTCGAAAGGCGATCCTTGCGGATGCGCAAATCGAACTCACGGTGTTGCTGGCGATTTAGGCCTTGAGTAAACTCGTCCTCGTAGTCATCGAAAAGGACATGAAGTAATTCGTAGATGTCCAGTTCGTCGGGAGGACAGCGCTGCTGTATGAGGTGATTCTTGACTTGAGAGAACGAGATGGCATCGTGTTTGACCAGGGGAACATTGTCCACGAGCACCACTTGAGCATCTGTCAAGATTGACTTGACATACGTAGTAACCTGAATGAAATTGTCAGACAATATCACCAACACGGACATATCTGTATACCCGTACATTATCAATGCTAACTGGTTGGAGAGAAGTCATCAGAACCTCCCGACCTGTAGCTTCGGTTTGCGCCAGCACCTTTGCGATCCAATCCCTTTCGTCGCCAGGAGCGCTGGATGTGGATGACTTGTAAACAAGCTGACCAGTAGACGTGAAATGAGGCTTGAAACTCGCGTGCCAGAGCTTATCGTTTTCAC